TCCTGACTCTTTCTGCAGCCTTTACCTCTACTCCTTGACTCCTTCTTACTGCTGTCTTTCAGCCACACCCCTGATCTTCTGGTAGGAAAGATCTACACCTAGCCTTTTCTGACAAGGGCGAAAAATATCGGAGGGCCCGTGTGCAAGTTGCGCACGTTAAAGATCCTTTGGTGGTCTAAAATCGATAAGAGTAGGCTTCGGCCGCCACCCGGGCAAAATTCAAAATTCCTACCAACTAAAAGTATTAGGTGTGTCCGGCGCGCTCATATGACCTTATGTAGTTGCGAGCGCCGTATAACCCTCTACTATAATTTAAAAAATAATAACAAGAACAGAGTTTGATAAAGGGTGTTTTTTTTTCTAGTGCGTTTATCTCTCAAGAACAGCAAACAAAACAATCTTTAAAGGGTGAGCAATAGAAAAAAAAGCTAACAAAACTTTGGGGTTTTACAGATTTTGTTTGTCTTTTTTTTTTGGTAGCGTTTTTACGGCGCTCACAACTGCATAATATGGTCATGAATGCCAAGGAGAAGATTTCAACAGAGAAGTCCATAAGTCCATACAGGGAATCAGGCTAACTCTGCTCCCCTCTCTAGCTTCAATAGCACAAAGTCTGCTTCAACTATCAAGGCACCACGGAAATAGCGGGTCACAATAGTGTAAATAAGATACCAAAGAAGTAGAGGAAAATGACGGTAGTAAGGGTTAGGAAAGGAAAAGCAGCAGTTCCCTGTTAAAGTTAATAAATAGCATAATTTGTATAGCGCATATCCCCGCTCAACAGCAGGCTCTATGCGCTTTACACTATAGTTCAGGCATAGTTATGAGCATGACATTGATGAATCAGCCCATCTACAATTCTACTGAGCATAAGAACGTGTTAATGTCCCCCCCCCTCCCTCCCACCTTTGGGAAAGGCCTAAAGACACTTCAGTCAGTAGCACCGCCCAGCGGGGTATTGTTTGTCTTTGTAAGCAGAAAGATAAAAGCGCTTATTTTATTATCTTAATGTAGTTGCGAGCGCCGTAAAACTCTTACTAAACTAAACGAAAGAAAGATAAACAGTTTTCACATTTTTCTGTCTCATCGACACAATCTGGATCATTTCGGAGCCAAGGTATTTCCATCAGAGATCTGTCCGGGCTAATTCAGACTGAGAGGGACTCATACTATCAGCAGACAGATGGATTATACTCAATTACCCTCCCCCTCCCTCAACACACACATACACCCCCCCCTCACACACACTCTCTCTCTCTTTCTCTCTCTCTCTTTCTCTCTCTCTCTCTCTCTCCCTCTCTCCCTCTCTTTCTCTTTCTCTCT